TTCATACAGGGAAAACGCAGAAGCCACCAGGAAAGACAATTTGGTTGGATGACATCAGTGATTACTTTAAAAAAAAATTCGTTTATTTAGGTTTGTCATATGTTAAGTTCGGTACTTAATATAAAAGTTAATTAACTAATTTGATTATATTAAAAAATTAGTTAAGTTAATTATTTGTCACAAATATGAGATGATTTTGCAAAAGTACCTCTTGTTAATCATAAGTCATAACTACACTTAGAGGGAAATCTTTTGACATATCTAATTAATAAGAATATTTTGGAGAGTAAATTATAAATTTGGGGATAAAATGGATTAAATCTTGTATTTAGGATCAAATCAAGTTCCAATTAGCTCTTATATTAAGGACCAGAAGCATTAATATATACTCCTGTTTGATAGCCGCAGTCTTTTTTCTTTTTTTTTTTTTTCCCTTGCTTTCTTTTGTATGTACTACTCCCTCCGTTCCTTATTATAAAAGACAAATAACCAAATTACATTGATAAAAAAAAAAACAGTTCTAATTAGTTGAGGGCAATTAATGTATAAAAAGGATAATATTTTTTCCAACAATGCCCCTATTAATAAGGAGAGAGAGTATAAGAGAGAGCAATTAAATTATTAAAAAAAAAGAAGGGGAAGGGAGAGAGAGTATGAGTTGGAGACAAAATAAATAGGGGTAAAATAGGAAATCAATACAAAAAAATAGAGACTACTTTTAAGTGTCTCTTATATATAGAAACATGTCATAAGCATCAAATGTCTCTTATAATAAGGAACGGAGTGAGTATTAAAATGTGAACCAGGGACCTTAATTATATCAAGATCAGTTACCAATATTAAGCATTTATTTCATTATTAGAAGTTAAACCCCGAGCGTTACAAGCTACGATGTAATACTACCTCCGGTCCTAATTATAAGAGCCGATTGACTAATTTGAGAAGATTAAGAAAGTAAGTTGAATTAGTTATTTGTCCTAAATAGGTGTTGTCTTTCCTAAAATATCCTTACTAATCAAGTGTATTGACTAGAACTATCATTGTTAGAAGGGTTACTTTGGAAAAAAATGTATAAATATGAGAGACAAATTGGATTGGAGTCTTTTATTTAGGACCAAAATAAAAGTTAAATAGGGTCTTATATTAAGGACCGGAGGTAGTACTATTTATGAAAAATAGCACGAAATTAGAACTAATTGTGGATTCGACCAGCTGCTTGCACCGCCAACCGGAAGACAACTTTGTATATTTGAATTTGAAAAGGCATGCGAACTGACGTTAGTGAGACAGACAAAACTACTTCATATTAAACAATCATGGTACCTTTAATCCTTTTTCTTTTGGCCATGTGAGTTATCACAATATCTTTTATCACTAGATCTCTAAGTTTCCAGAAGCTTAAGGTGCGTATATACATGTGAAAATTATATTAAAGAAGCACAGGAAGGTATAGTGACCATGAATTTTAGTGGTCCAGTAGTTTTGGTATCTCGATCGATTTATGAGGCCACGTATCTGTGATTCCTAAATAATCACAGTGATTCCATTAGGTCATGATGATGAGAATCCAAGTGTGGTAGCTCTCTAAAAATTTGTTACGTTAATGCGTTCCCTTCCTCACTAATCAGAGCACTTCTGCACTCATATTAAATACACCGTAATTCGTTCAAGTTGTGGATATATAGAATATTATTAGCGAAAGAATGGCATAAAAATTAGGTAAATGGTAGAAAGATAATGTATAGAATGTTAACTTTTGTTTGTTTTATTATTTTATATAACCCTTAGGGTCACACGCGCGCCCACACACACGTATTAGATAAAACAGAGTTAGTTAGGTACGGTAAATAATTGATAGCCGACAATCATACAAGATTAGTGAATTTTATTATATATATTCTATATTTATGATATACTACCTTCGGTCCTATTTATAAGAGGTAGTTGATTAATTTGAAGAGATTAAAGAAAGAAGTTAAATTAATTAGTTGTGATAAATAAATATTATCTTTCCTAAAATATCCTTACTAATTAAGAGTATTGGCTAGAATTATTATTATTAGAAGGACTATCTTGGGAAAAGATGCATAAATATGAGAGACAAAATGGATTGTAGTCTTATATTTAGGACCAAAATAAAAGTCAAACAAGGTCTTATATTAAAGATCAGAAGTAGTATTATGATTACGAGTAAAAACAAGTGTTGGTGTCCAGCAAATTAAACGTCCAGAAAAAATTATAAAAATCTAAATTAAGACGAAAAAACAATGAAAAGATACACATAAATAAATTCAATATAATGTCATATATAGACTAAATATATGAATCTTTCCACTTATATATATCTTCTTTAAATATCCCCATCCCATTTCCCTCATCAACTCAAAAGTCATACTTGACATTCCAAACAACAACTTGATCGATTTTCTCATAAGCATAAACATATTTGTTTAGTGTATCAAACAGTTGTGTGAATTGCAGTTATGTCTTAAGTGACCGATAAGAAATGAAAGTGATTAGAGTGACAACTCATTAATTAGGACGCTTGAACCTTTTGCTTTACAACTTTATTTGACTTTCCTACGGTCGTTTTTCACATTTCACATATACAAGATTAAGATGAAATATAAATGAAAAATATTCCTTCTCAAAATTTTAAATTTGAAATTATCAAAGGGCTAAAAATTTTAGGCATGAAGAGCTATATATCATTGATTGTTGAATGGTAACGAACATGCATGAATGAGAAAAGTTTGAGTGAAATAGGGAAAAAACTTAATTCATGATATAAATTATCAACACTATGTGGCAATCCTTTTTCAGTTAAAACTTTATAATGTTCCATTTAAAATAATTGAAATTTCAAAATCTGCTGTAATAAATATTTTTCATGGTCATATAGAGTTTGCGACTCATGTGTGAACTAGTAGAAGGCAAAGCCAAAGCACGCAACTTTTTGAGTCAAGGAGGAAGAAGATACAAACAAGACAATTAGGAGATCAATATAATTAATTATCTTCAACTTTTATTGTTTAGGGAAAGATGTAAAAGATACCCAAAAAGAAATGGAAAAAGATAGTTTAATTATTGGCTAATTAGAGCCGAGGTTTTGATTATTGTACTTTTAAACATATAACACTTCTGTTCATGTAAAACGTGTTCTCATTTTTCCTCATCTTTTCGAGTCTTTATTGCTGGAATTCATATTCATATTATGCCTAATTAAGCTGATTTGAGTGTAAACATTAATCAGAAAAGTTTGCGTAAAATGGACACAAAGTTGAGGCGAAAAATATCACTTTGTGTTAACGCACTTGTCTAGTATTTTAAAAGAAAAACAAAAAGAAAAGAAATAAAAGCGTACATTTTTTAATCAAATATGAAAAAAAAATTAGAGAAATTCTATATCAAATAATTTTCTGGGAAACATTTTTCGGTATATGCATGCTAATTTGTTCAAATTATGAACTTTTTGAACGCAATTCAAATATTTAAATAATTATTTGTGCAAATAAATAATGCATGTATAAATGTTTTTAAATGCAACTTATTTTTAAAAATTTATTTAATAAAATTAATTCTACTGTAAAATCTGGCTAATTAAATATTAGTTGAGTGTGTCAATTAAATTTTTTAAATATTTTGGATTATGAATAAATAATTATGGATTTGCGGCAGAAACGAAGGAGAAGAGTTCCAGCAGCAGCGGCTGGGAAGGGCCGGCGGGAAGGGCCAAGGACAGGTCAAGGATGGGAGCGACACGTGTCGGGATCCTAAGGGAGCCGAATGGAACGAAGACGAGCAACGGAGGGCCGTACTCGTGGGGGCGAACTGGTCGTTGGGGGACAATTGAACTGCAACAGGATTGCGACGCGTGTCACATGGAGACGAAGCGCTCCCTGAATCGTACGGTGGGTGTCTGGTCAGAATGTTTCGATGGGCCCCAGCCAGCCAGTGTCCGCTTTTCCGGGACAGTTATGATGGTGATTTGTGAGGCGGACTAGAAATAGAATGCCTCATTTTCATACTTTCCCATTTGCAATGAGATTGGAAGCAGGCAACATTAAAGAAGGACAATTTATTGTATTCATATCATTCTTGTGTGTGAACTGTCCCAAGGCAACCTTTTATATTTTCATACCTCTTTTATTTTCTTCTTAATTTTTTTTTATGGAAAAAGGTCTCTTGTTATCTGATTTTTAAATTGCGCCACAGCACAAGATTTCCATTCTCTTCTCACCCGCCAAGGGGGGAAAAAACGTAGGGCTCAAGCGAAAGCAAGAAGGAGGGCCCGGCCCGCCCCTCATCTTACCCACTAAGTTTTCTGATGTTTATGGACCCGGCCCAGATCATTTGTGTCTTCATGCCTAACATCACATCCTCTCTCTTGCTTCTTTCCATGGCCCTCCTCTTCTTACCCCACTATTCCTCCCCCTCTAACCATTAAACAGCGTTATTAATTCCTTTTTCACTCCCTCCAATCCTTTTTATAAATTCTATTAATTACTTCATATAAGTTAAAATATACTACTTATGGTTCTTAAAACCTCATTTGACTTTTATTTTGATTTTAAATATAAAACCCCCAATCCACTTTGTTTCTAATATTTATGTATTTTTTTCAAGATAGTCATTCTAATAATGATAATTCTAGTTAATACACTTAATTAATAAGGATATTTTAAGAAAGACAACACCTATTCATTACAAATAATTAACTTAACTTATTTCTTTAATCTCATCAAATTAGTCAACTAGCTCTTATAATTAGGACTAATAGCATATATATATATATATATATATTCTACAAAATAGCTGATAAGCACCGGAAGGAGTAGTTAGTATCTCACAAACAATCCGATCACTTTGCCATGTTATTTCCCCCTATTAAAGAAGGCTAAATTTGCTGCGATTTCTAATATGAAACCCACAATTTTATTTCACAAGTATTAAAATTATTTATTTTAAAAAAAACCAAAATACATTGTCCATAAGTTGAGGATGATCTGAGTAGAATAACATGAATTAAAAGGAGGTTCAGCATCATAGAGGGGTATTCTTTTCCAGGAACAGAAGGAGTTCGAATAAATTTATGACTTGAATAACATGAATAAAATGGAGGACCGGTCTCGATTGTACATGCAATGAAAACTACAAGTTCTAGTGCTTTCTTACATCTACACTATCATTTTACTGCAACTAAATTCAGTTCCACACTAACAAAGCATTGCAAACAGGTTTCACCCCACCTATTTTGCTTCCGAGATCAAGGAATCATTCTTCAGCAGCAGGAGATTGGCTGGCATTTTGGACGATGAACATGCAAGTGCAAAACGATATAGTTAAGGAAAGTTGAAGAATAATATATTAGAATAACACAAACTCGGCAATAGTTTTTGCTTCACAAACCTGCCGTATGTTTCATTCACGGGACTTTCAGGAGCATCGTGGTTAGCATTGTCCTTTGGCTCAGGCATGGAATTTAGGTGATCTTCATCGCCATTGTAAGGACTACCATCACCTCTTGCATCAGGACTACTTATAGAGCCATGACCATTTTCAGGGCTAACCCTCTTCATATAGGAAGGACTGCGGTCGGAACAATCATTTTGAGGGGCTCTCTCTCTTCCATTAGGACTGCGGGAGTGAGAATTGCCACGGTCAGTTCTACCTTGTTCTTTATGATAAGGACTATGGCTTGAGCCACGAATAGGGTCAGAACCATCCCTCTCTCTTCCATATGGACTAGTGCTCCTGTGATTATAATCTGGGCTACCTCTCTCAATCTGTTGGGAGCTTCTACGGTGGCTATGACCATAGTCAGGGCTGCTCTTCTCTCTCTTATATGGGCTAGAGCCACGGCCATAATCAGGGCTGCTCTTCTCTCTCCTATATGGGCTAGAGCCACGGCCATAATCAGGGCTGCTCTTCTCTCTCCTATATGGGCTAGAGCCATGGCCATAATCAGGGCTGCCTCTTTCTCGGCGATAAGGACTGGGTGATCGCTTTCTATCATTGCTTATATCACGTGATCGATCATGGCTTCTATCAGGACTATATGCATTCCTCCTGTCATCATCATTCTCTGCAGCAAATTCAACTGTGATAACTCGATCCAGTAACTTGCTACACAAGAATTTCAACAGAAATCATTATGAGTATCATTGCAGAAGTAAAATAATTAGAAAAATATCTTGCTTTTAACCAGCACAATCAAGGTTACAACATTAAGTGCTTCACAGGTGAAGCAAGTTTGCAAAGACAGAGATCTACCTCATATTTGTAGCTTCCAATGCTCTGATGGCATCATCATACGAGTCATACTGGACAAATGCAAAATTCCTTCTAATCCTCACACTAACTATCTTGCCATATGGCTCAAAGTGCCTCTCCAAATCCCTAGTTCTGGTATGATATGTGTCAAAATTAATAACAAATAAAGTCTTTGATGGCCTTGAATTTGCTGAAGATCTTCTTGAACTACCAGGCCTTCTAATGCCGCGTTCATGCTACAACAAAACATAAATTATTTAAACATGGTGTTGACTTCTTTATAAGTAACAGATGTCATTTACGGCATCAATGTATGCCTTACTTTTGTCCATTCCACACGAAGTCTGCGTCCCTTTCGACCAAATTCTACCTGATCAAGCGCACGAATTGCATCCTCAGCATCTCTCTCATCTTCCATATAGACGAAGGCAAACCCTACAACCAAGCAAAATTTTTACAATTAGGAGACAGTTATCCCTAATTGTAAAGCAGAAAGGAGAAATTGGGTGAATGGTCATCTGTAAAAAAAAAAAAAAAACAATTTGGTTCTAGGGCAACAACTCACCCTTGGGCAGTACACAAACCACCTCTACACTTCATCCGTAATCAAAATTTTGGTAAACCTCACTATTTCTACAAACTAATTTGACTAGAAAAATTAGCAACAGACCTTGGGTAATGAACAAATTGATGTCAAGAACAAGAATCCAAAAGTGTAGGTCTCATGGTGGGTCAATGGAAATAGAGTGACATCTTCATTTAATCTGCTGCCTCTGCAGTGAGGTCGGCAATATTTCAACCTTCAAACATGTCTGATAAATTGAAGGCTGGGCAAAAGGCATGAAAAATGGAAGGCAAATGTGACTGAGGTAAAACATGGTACGGTGGTGCCACTTGAGACCAAATTGAATCTTCTTTAGAAAAAGAAGATGTACGTCACAGACATAAACGTATTTCTGAAAAGCTGATCCATTAGCCTGGAAGAGTATGGGTATGCCAAAATAATCCTGCGCCAAAGAAAATGTTGAGTATTGGGGTCGATGCTCAAAAAAAATATGCTTTTATCTTTTTCTTAAAGATATCTCCTGAACACCCCGCAAATGCTCAACAATGTGCCGCACATCAGGGTCCAACTACTCAGACTGAATCTCAACCGGGAGGTGAAGCTCGCTGGGATACAAGTCATGATGACAAAATTCATAAATTCTAAGCCGCCAATCCACCGTAGCAATGTGATTTGATGTCTGTTGGCGGGATGTGCAACTTATATAGTTTTTTATTCTTTTCTAAAAATAACTAAACGTTCTTTCATGATCACAAGCTACATAAACAGATATATTATTAATCTTTATATTGGTATATTTACACATTCAAGATAATGCATAATAGCTCATCTTATATTTTAAAAATTCTGACTCAATTATATTAGAGTTAAGCAATCCCCGATTTTGATGTGATTCCACAACACTTGATCCAATAGAGAGGTCAAAGAAATACCCAATTAAGTTGCTTAGAAAGAATTCATTTGACCATTTCACCAGGCCACAAGTGGCCACTACGTGCGTAAACGGGACCCAAAATATCCAATTTCAACCTCAACCATCAAAGCCATGATAATGTTCTCAAAGAAAGAGCTTTGGAAATCAGACTAGGAACATATTTATCTTCAAATGCACATAGAGGTCAAAGAAATGCTTACCGGACTTCATATCCACCCTATCAACCTTCCCATATCTTTTAAACAGCCGCTCCAGATCAGACTGTCGAGCATCATATTCAAAGTTTCCACAAAAGATAGACCTCATCTTCCCTGAACACAAGTTTTTAGAAACCTACCAGTCTTACTGTACACAGTGCAAAATTGAACAAACCTAATTGTTAAAAGTAAGAAGCATTCTTAAGTAGGCAGATTATTTATAATTTGAAGAAGTACTAGATATAATATGACAAAAAACGTGCATCAAATTTGAATAAGGGGTTGAAAATCTAAATACTAGCATTCAACAACAACTAAAAGAGCGGGTCCTTGGACAGATGAGCAACCAATAAGCATAAAAATTAGCATCCTTCTTGCTACAAATAAAATTTCCCGAATCCATAACCCCCCTCCTGTCCCCCCCAGGTGAAATGAAAATCCGTAAGCCAAATTAAACCACATAAAAAAAAATGCTTGTCGTTCATCCAAAATCGATGATGGAGGGGGGGAAGTTCCAACACGATTCACAAAACAAAAAAAAAAAAAAGGGAGAGAGACAAAAGAAGCTTACGATTCTTAGCAGATCAGCCCTGAGTTGTCAGATCTACAAGAAAACAATAGGTAAAACATTCAGCTCCAATAAAAATCCAAGAATCGATCAGATGAAAGAGCCGCCTTTCAAAACACCAAAAAAGTATAAAATCTTTGACACAATTTAGTCAAAGGATAAACAGAGATTCAGGCATCTGGGAGAAATTACTCAAAACCAAGCTCCTACCTTTCCAAGCAGAAACCTTGCCGCCACTGATTCGCTATCTTTCCTTTCGAAGGAAATAAGATATGGATCTGTAAAAGTCTTCAGTCCGTACGCTTTAAAGAGAAGGAGACAGGGGTTTTTTATTTTTTAGTTTTTATTTTTTGGGCCACATCAGAAAGCAGTAATGACAAATTAGGAATGCCCCCAAAAATTCAGGGGAAAAAAAAAAAGAATGCCCCCAAATTTTTTCAATTTGCATAAACGAATTTCATGAGTTTTATTAATAAGTTTTAATAGTTAAAGTATTCATGAGAATTTTATCAATATTACATTTTTATAGTATTTGAGTAATATCTTCATATCTTACGGGTCCATTTTTATAGGATTTGAGTTATCAACAACACGTTTTTTTTTTTAAATTAATCTTTCTACAATTTTTTTTGCCAACTTGTATAATTTTGATTCTTCACCTAATGGAAAGAACTCTCACATACTTGTCATATTTATAAAGCGTCGAACTCACCTCCATTATTTAAGTCAAGATTTAAAGGGTGTTTGGCTATTGTTAAAAACACTTCTTAAAAGTATTTTTTGCCAAAATAAGACAAATTTTTTTATATATTTGTTTTGTAAACTGTAAAAAACATTTTTAAAATTATGGTTTGGTTTTTGTCCAAACACCTTTTTAAAAATATGTCTAGTTTTAGATCAACCAAACGCTCTAATCTGTCTCGCGTCCGATGCAAATCTTATATTCTTCATAGCTTGCAAATCTAACCGTTTATTTGGGTAATGAAACCCTCTCCTGACAATCCATGGGCTCTCTAGCGGAGACTCATAGACGCACATAGAGGTTTTCTATTGGGCTTTTGGGTTTTGTTCATTGGACCCATCTCTGGGGTCAGGGAAGCCGATTCCTCCACTAGCCCATTCCATAAATAAGGCATTAGCCTTGTGTTTGTGTACGCAAAAGGTCATGTTCATTGTACCAAAAAGAAAAAAGGTCTAGTTTAAAAAGTCCCTCTTTGTCTATGGTTTAACTTGGCTGGAATTGCCAACAAGAGTAGGTAAGTTCAGCTTATAACCCCTAAAATTATGAGTTTGAATCTTACAGCCGATATAAGGATTCTGCTAGTGAGTGATCTATAAGTATCTCTATAAACACTTTTTAAGTCTAGATATATGCTTTGATCTTGGTTGCAACTCAATTCACTTAAACTTATATGTAATAAAATTAAAACTTGGTTGGAATCCCAACTAGTCAGTGTTATTGGATTAGTGGATGATTTTATAAAGCCAGAAAAAATATTGTTTTCGGCTTAAACCCATCCTTTGATACTTGCTTTAAATCATTGTGTGTGCGTGTGTGTATGAGAGAAATAACTATTTAATATTCAATACTACTGAGTTATATTATAATAGTACATTAGCACTGTAAGATGGAACTCAACTAATTGATTCAGCCTCATCAAAGTTAAAACTTAAAAGTATACCCTACACAAGGCGAAGGAAACTAAATTAAGGTCAGTTATTGATACCCTATAAATGTGGCGACCCTGGTACAGTGCCGAAAAGAAAATTAATTATACAAATGAATAGTGTTTTTCCATTTTTTTTTAAGAATAAACTGCAGTTCTAATCTTATATCAACACCTTAAAACCCATGATAAAATCATCATAGTTATTGATTTAGTTGTGATTTTTATAAATTTGCAGCGTGTGTCTGAAGAACCTCACAGCTAGTTAATTAAATGACGATTTAATTGCAGACAGAAAATGGCAGCCAAACAAAATGTTTACATATTTCCCCGCGCGCGTGTGTGAAACCAAGTCACTCTTAGAAATACAATCTTTCAATGTTGTGCGAGGCAAACGCAGAAATGGGAAATAATGAAGCTCATGTGGACCTAGTTCTGGGAGATGATGACACCTTCCTTTTATTGTCCTCTCTACCTATAAGAAAATTAATTAATTATTTGGACGTTTAATTTGCTCTGCAGAAAAGGAAAGAAATTAACATTTCTCCAACTAATTTATAGGCAAGCAATATCTCTTCACACTCTAAGAACAATATATGCCTTAAGACTTGATAAAATTATCCACCAAAAGTCTGATGCATGAAAAAGAAACATGAAAAGTACTCTGCGATGGGTTAACAACGCGGTTAGGTAGATTATGAGCTTCAACTTGTGGGATTTTGAAACTTCTGGAGAGCAGTAAGAGCTTGGACTCTGGCTAGCTCACTTTCTATATTATGAATTTGTCGGCATAACTCTAAGATGATCCTCACACAGCCATATACTGGATCTTCAATCCTACATTGTGCTTCAAAATACATTGTATCTACTGCTTCTGCTCTCACATATGATGGAATTTGCTGCGACATTTTAATTTCAGCTTTAGGTGTTTTTAATGAAATAATGTATTTTTTTAATTATATCATCATTTTTGGACTCTAATACTATTCATAAATACATATCGCATAATATTATTATAGAATATGGAACAAAAGAATACATTGATTTTTTAAATTAATGAATTACCTGAAGAATCGTCCCAACCCGGCTAGCGCCATATATTCGGTGAACATAAGTGAATCTTTGAGGATCATTGGCAGGAAAATAAGGAGAGAAAATGCAATCGGAAGGACATTTTCTTCTTTGATTCTTGCAAGCTGCACATCGACCTGAAATCATGATTTGATACCAAATACTTTAAGGATTGGAAAAAAATATTTAGATAATCCAAAGCAAATCTCTGACACCCGCAAAGATTTTTACAGTATCTTTTTGGTCAGTGGAGAAGAAATCTTACAAAGATTATGATCTCTCGTTGCTTTAGAGAAGAGTATTATATATTGAGGAGGAGGATGGGAAGTTGAAAGAAGGAATCTTCAACGGCTATATTTTCCCCCCTCAAAGATTGTGATACTAATAGAGAAGGTTTCAGTGATGAGAATGGCAAGAAATGGACCCAGGATTGAGGATTATGTCCATTTTAAGAATTTGTCCGATTCTCTATTTATGAATAGACAATAATTTTTCCAAATCATGCCATTTACATCCGATTGCCCGTTACGACTGAAAGCGGGGCTGACTGGATTTAGGCATCTGGCACATTATTATGTTTCCATCAAAATATAATATTGCTAAAAATAAAAAATCCATGATGTTATGCAAAAACCAAAAGAAAAACAAAATAGATAACTTTTAGGCATTCATATATATATATATATATATATATATATAACTGTCGTAATGATTTCTTGTAACTAATAGAGATTAATTCTCTCTCTCTCTCTCTCTCTCTCTATATATATATATATATATATAGTCGTCGCTTTATTTTCATTTTTGGCCAAAACTTGGCTGCGTTGATTTCATTTGATTAATTTTTCTTTTACTTCTTTTGTAGAGCATGTTGGGTTTTTTTGGCCATATAAAGCTAGTTCTCCTGGTAGATCAGTTTAGGGGGACATATATACATACATACATACATATATATATATATATATATATGAAATTTTATCATGATCCTTACGTAACATAATATTTTGTTCAAATTATATATACCCAATATTTCATTTATAATAGAGAGTCTGAACTCAAAACGCTGTATATGGAAGAAATAAGACAAAAGGGACAATTGAATAATTAGTTGCTAATATGATTATCATGAGATTAGAGGCTTCATGCATTAGCTAGCTGGTTATTAATGAATTTTGAGATATGTTTGATTCGGTCATATTTGACATACTACCTCCAGTTCTTAATATAAACGCTAGTTTGACATTTAATTTAGTACCTCCAATCAACTTTGTCTCTCGTATTTATTATTTTTTTCAAAGTAATTCTTATAGTAGTTGTATATGTCAAAGATTTAATCAAATGTTAGTTCTAGCACTACATAATTAGTAAGGGTATTTAAAAAAAAACACCTAATTATTATAAATAACTAACTCAATAAATTTTTTTAATCGATTTAAATTAGTCAACTAGCTCTTATATAATACTTGAAAGCAGATGTGCCATATAATATCCCTTATTCGCCAATTTAAACATTCAAAGAGCAAACTCAAATCACCAAGTTCGAAAAAAGAATTCTTGCTTGTATTCAAGTGAATTTCAAGATATATTTTTTCCCTCGTCTTTTATTATATCAAGAAGAGCCTAAACCTTGAACCCTTATATATCCACTCCTTACCCATCATTTTAGGAGTGCTTTCTATAACACACAAATATATGTGTTATTAATTAATGATAAAATAGCACTCGGTATTATAATTCTAAAATTATTTATGATACATCTAGTCCTAATTTTATTTTTTAGTTACATCTAACATTTTAAACTTATTTATAGTTGATAACGCTAGATGCACTATATAAATAAGATTAGAAAACTGAATAAATAACATTACGATACTGGATGTATTTGAAAAATAACGTTAGAATATTGAATGCTATTTTGCCCATTCATTAATTATGAACTATTCATCCATGGTCCCAATATAGAGCTAGTTAATTAATTATGAACTATTCATATCATAAAAAGTTGCCATAGACAATAATCTAAAAGCATAACGCCATGCCCCTCCAAGTTTTGTACATTTTTGTTCACTGAATTGTCAGGGTTGACTCACAAGGCTCTACAGTGTTTTATCATCTCAACTACCTGAATATAGAGAGTCCTTTCACATTGTTGGACGCTACAGGTCCAATTAACTAGCTAATAATTAAGAAAAGCTTTTTTTAAATAAAACCTGTTTATTAAGTCTAATATATCTCCTGAGCTATATAATTAGCATCAGGTTCATGATTCTTGAAAAGAAGAAGCTTTGTCATTACTTCTGGCAGGAATCTGCAGCAGCGAACAACGTTTCAATGAGATCCTCGTCCCAATCCTGCATCAAAATTGAATTCACATCCATATGATTAGATCGATATCTATATATATATGATCAGTAAGCATTTTCCTAATCAGAGCGTTAACTGATCTAAATAGCAATCAAAACTCTTTTAATTAAAAGATGGCTTGCCTTTTCACCAAAAAAAAAAAAAAAGATGGCTTGCCTGCTCTTGAGGAGTTGACTTTCCTGCTGATGAATTAGTCTGTTCCGCCATGAACATGTCATAAGGTTCCAAGTTTGTGGATGCATCGTTGCTTACCACCTTCAGAGATCACGTGACAATTGTGAGTGTAGATAGATGACTTGAACAGAAATCTTCTCTTTAAGTGGCTTCAGATTTCGTTTACAATGATTGAAAATTTTGATTCTCTATAATAGCAATAAGCTTTTGAATGTATTTAATATCGAATATTTATTAAAAAAATCATAATTAATGAAAATTTAACAATATAACGTTGAGAATTAATGTAAGTTTCGGAAGAGAATCTTTCTCTTTTATATATCGAAGAGCCTTCGGAGGAACATAAAAAGGGGGAAGAAAAAGCAGGGTCTCTCACATGAGAGGATGACGTATTCTGATTGAATCTTTATCCCTTCTCTTTTTCCCAATCATTTTCAAATTAGGGAGAAACAAGAAAAGCAAACAAGTTAGACTAACCAAATTAGGGTTTTTGTTGGTGCAAGATGGGGACTCGTTCGGCTGAACATTGAGACTTCTTTCATTTGTTTGAACGCTTGCGTGATCACCATCTTCTTGCAACTGTTGCAATCAATATATAGAGTTGAATTAATACATACTAGGAGAAATATGAGTAGGATAAAATGTAACAGGTTCCTGATCACATATATTATATACCATATTTATGAAAATCCATTAACTCATTTACACGATCGAACTCAACGATACAGCAGAAGTTAATATAACTAAGCAACAAACACGCACCAGCTCAATGTAGTCTTCAACATTAAAGGAGTTAAGAATGTCAGAACTCGAACGTTCACCGGGGCTCTCTGCAGTCTGATTTGAGACAATCCAACAATCCACAATCAATATTATAATTAAGAAATACACCATACCTAGTTTCTTGCAGCCAAAAGAGTCAAGCTTACGCGTAATATTGACAACTGTCTACTACTACTGCAAATGTGCGTGTTTCATAGATACGTGTGTGTGTGTGTGTGTACCTTGTCCAGAAGAACCATGTCGTCTATCATGAGGAAAAGTTCATCAAGATCATCCATTTGGCCAGCTTCCCTCTGATTCACCGAAGTGACAGTATTATGCTGATCATGATTACCACCTACAGCGTTCCTACTGCCATTAATTGACTGCTGAGGCAAAGATGGGAGCCCTGCAGATATGTTTGATCGAGTTGGCTCAACACGGGCATTCACAGCCGAGGACGAGACAGGAACAATTGCATTATTTGAAGCATTCCCATTATTTGACAAGCCAAATATATTGCTGCTGCTGCTGTAATTGTAGCTGTTGTTATGAACTCGATTCAATGCACCAACTGTAAGAGAAGGATTGTTGTTCAGTTGCGTTCCATGGTGGTTATTATAAGTACTAGAACATCGTTGCAGGCCAGAGCTTCCATAAGGCACTATCATCCCACGGTTATTATCGTTGTTGTTCACATGAGTTCCAAGGTGGTTATTATATGTCCAAGGACTTCTTTGGAAGCCAGAGCTTCCATAAGGCATTATCATCCCAAGGCTGTTGTTATGATTATCATAATTAGATGGGCCATAGTTGAAGTTTCCGCTGTTCCCCAGTGAGGAATAGTTGCTCATCAAACCATTTGCAGTCAGGGAATTTGCAGAAGTCATGAGTCCTCCATTGACGATAGGACGATGATGATTGGTCCCATAATGGTTTGGTTGTCCCAGTACGGTTTGATTGGCGAGAGAGAATCTGGTTGTTGGAGGATTGTGAGGAATCTGAGGCATAGCTACAGTACTGTAAGGTTGATAATGATAATGTTCGTAATGACGAAAACGACTAGCTCTCTTTTGAAGGTCTCTGATGAGATCTGTGGGAAGACCCATAGCAAACCTTGACCTCAAGGCTCTCTCAGATAATCCCTCAAGGATTCCTTTGTCTGCAATTTTCTTCAGAAACATCCGATACTTCTGCAACATTTGTGTATGTCAGTTAATTTTCTTCTTTTCTTGCTTAAAATTGAATTAGAAGAAGGCAAAAAATGCACTGTTGAAGAGAATACTTATTTTTTTACTTAAGAACCAAACCTGCAAATGACTGGCAACGTTTTCTCTGGTCAAGCCTGGCACGTTCATGATCTCGAGGATCTTCGTTGGAACAGCCTCTGCATGAAGAGTTAAAGTCCAAATTAACAAACTAGCTGTCCAAGTAATTAACATTGAAAAATGTTCTCTGCTAATGATGGATTAAAACTCACTGTCCATGCCAATGTGCCTTAAGGCCAACAAGAAGCGATTGTGAAGATTAGTAGTCCAGAAAATCTTGGACCTCTTTTGACCACAGTATATGAGTTCTTCATTATCAATCACATCACTACGTTTTCTCTTGCAATACTTCTTCCTTTGTTTTTCAGGTGGTGATGATGATGATGAGTCTCCTTCTTCTTCGCTCACGGCTACTATTCTGTCATTCTCAACCGTCAGTTTCTCTCTCCTCCCAGCCACAGCATGCTGCCACACATCTCTCAAGTCCTCTCTTCCTACTGGTTTCACTAAGCAATACGCTGCTCCGTTCTCGAGGCTTCTCGACATCACTCTCCTCCTCCCATCTCCAGACATAACTGCACATATCCATATATATCGGAAACTGATTAATCCTGTTGAGAATGGAGTTTACCCAGACAAACCCTAACCCTAGCTAGCCCTCTTCCTCTGGAGCAATGGGCCCTGTGAAATATGAACAAAGTTGAGAGAGTACTTAATGAGTTCTGGCTGGTTTGTATACTTACTGATGACTGGAAGATGGAATTCGCTTTTGACACGTTTTTGGAGTTCCAGTCCATTCATTCCTCGCATGTTAAGTTCGGCGATGACGAGGTCGAAGAAGCCTCTGAATTCCTTCAGAGTCTTCAAAGCTTCATGACCACTTGTAGCAGTTGCAACTGAAGTTTCAAAGGGAAATGCGCTAAATCATTTTTATATTCTTGAAAAAATATACCAAAAATGCCCTAAATCATTCTCAGCCAGGATATTATATTACTAAAATTCAACGCACAGAAGTCACCTGTCCCTATCTCATGATGACTTGATGAGGTGTTAGTTAGTAGTACTTTGAACAGATTAATTAATTAGACGTATTCTGATGTTCACATGTATTAAAGGACTCTGCTTAAATAATATATGGGCAACAAAAAGAGTAAAAAAGATTAAGGAGATCTTTCTGTTGATTTTTTTTTTTTTTGGGTGATAGATCTTTCTGTTGATTTTTTTTCCCAAGGAAATCTTACCTCGACGTTCATATGTATGAAAACAGCATGATGTACAACTTAAAGCCAAGATCTGGAAAATCTAACTTAATTGGAAAACGATCTAAAGAGATCGTAATTAAGGGAAACGTTGTAAATGGAAGAACAACACACATAATTGTGCTTGAGATGCAGGAAATTCAAATTAGAGTTCGATGAAATATAAAATATACATACTATCTTCACATTCTGGCCATTTATTTTCACCAGAAAACAAAATAATTAAAGTATGCGGTTTATGTTTTGAATTGTGAGACATCTCGATTTGTGTGCATGTAACATATGAGGACAGAACAGACAGAGAAAGAGCACACAGAAGAAACGACTCACATTGAGTTACTGAATAGTAATTAAGACTGATTACTGAAACTCCGATCCATTTCTCTCACTTGTTTTTAATGATTTTTGTCAACCTCATAAACTATTTTAATCTTAATATATTATATAATTTTATCTTAATCTGAGAAGATTGAAGAAACTGAAACGAAGTAATTACAGTCGCAAGCATCGAAGTGACATGAAATGAAACCCTTAAAGGAGTCACATGATATGTGCTCCTTGAACAATCATAGATGTCGAGGTTTTCGTTACAAAACACAATCAATCGCAAGTAATTAACTTTACTAATAATTTTGACTAAATGACAAGATAGAACCTTGCAAGAAGAAAGAGACACATATGGTGGTCAAGTAATAACAGCTTTCTGAGAATTAGGAAAAAGAGAAGAAGAAGACGATGATAATGATGATGAAGAACGAGATGGATGAGAGTCTGAAATAAACTCAAGTGTTAGTTAGACGATAATCTTAATTTAATCAAACAGCACGTAGTTTTACGAGGTGAATATTACAGAACCTTTGTATTCCCATGATCTGAGAAAACCAGCGTTGACGGAGAGAGAGGTGGCATCATCATCCACGAGCAAGACAGTGACGTCGAGCCTCTCGCAGTCAGCAACTTCATGAGACGCAGCCATTGTCTCTGAAACCTGAATCCTCAAACAGATTTGAAAACCACGTACTCTAAACCACTGTGCTATACAGTCATTGTGGGGGAGAATCACTAAGAGATATGTCTCCTTTTATAATGCCTTAGGAGTGTGGTAGTCAGAGATTTGTTCAGACAACTTCTTACATTTGGCATTTTTACTTCTTCATGGAAACTCTCTTTTTTCATTTCTGGAAACTCTTCCTTTCTTGTCTGGTTTTGAGTTTATCTTTCTTCTTCTTCTTCTTCTTTTTTAATTCTTATGAAAAGAATGAAATTGAGTTTAAATTTTGACCCTGCCCTTCGAAAAAATTTACATTTTCCAACTAATTAATGGCAAAAAAAATCTAGAATAAATATGCAATATTTATTACTTCTTACCATTTGGTACCTTGGTTCTTTCTTTAGAAGATTTGGTAATATTCTCATTTTCACCTTGCTTCTTCAAGACAAATTTTATACCTTTAATGAAAACCATATCAGATATTCTTTTTTCTTTTTAATTTTATACATGTTGAAGCTTTTTTAAACTGGACTGTATGTGATAATTAAACATTATAACGGAGCTGCTATATATATATATGTTCCCAAATAATTTTAACATGTTTGAATTAATATAATTAAATGTTCATTAAATCATCATGACAAGACCGTCTTGATATTTCAATTATTTTCTATGAATTTACAATGCAATTCACAAACTAAAATTATACATATGCATGCATGTATGTATACGTATATTTATCTAATTATATATTGTAAATATTTGTTTGCAAGATAGAATTTTACCCACTATCAATTTCTAAGTTTCTATGAAATTTTTATAGGTTAACCCGCCAAAATCTGAAAATATTGAAAATATATTCAGTAATGTCATTAACTTACTAACAACACTGGTGGGGATTAATTACAATAAAATGACATCACAATTACTTAACCCTTTAGTATGATTAATAATTACGCTAACAAAAGATTTACTAACAGCATTTTTATACAATTCAAAATAAAATATTCAATTCATTTTTATTGAAAATTAAAGCATCCACCAATGTAGTAATATAATATATACATATGGTGATATGGTGGGGTGAAAAATATTTTGAAATTAAAATAACATATCTTACTAGTTACTACACACTAATTACCAGAGCCACCGGAGCTAGCCCAGCTGATACTGGTTAAGAATTCGAGGTTTCAAAATAAGGATTTCACCCCAGAAAAAAAGGGGGAAAGCAAAAGGAAAAGGAAAAGGAAAAACATGGGGCAGTTTGCGGCAGATACCTGAAAAAATTGGAGAACATTTGTTGGGCTATCTGACCGGGCTCTTAAACTGAAGTCGGGCCCACAAATTAACTCATTTCCAAAACAGATTAAGAGTGTGTTTGGGGTGTCAATCACCCAAACACCCCCTCTAAAAACCAAAACCATGGTTTTGGAAAAAGCAAAAATTTTTTGCTTTTGGAGAAAAAAGGGAGAGTGTGAGAGCCTATATGATATATATCTTGTTATTTTTTTGATAAACATATTTTTTGATAAACATATTTAATCTTATATTTTATAAATATATATACACATTAATTATTTATTAATTATATTATCTTATGTATTATTAATTATGTTGGTAAAAAATATATTATTAACAATTTTATTCCTTCAAATTAAAATATATCATAAAATCTATTTTTTCTGTAATTATCATATTAACTTATGTCTTTATTTTAGTAATTTGTATATATAAAAAGTGCTTCTGATAACAACTATCCAAACACTCTCACTTCTCAGAATCACTTTTTTACAGAATCTATTCTTCACAGAATCTATTCTCCCCAGAATCTATTCTCCATAATCACTTTTTCAAACCACGGTTTGATTTCATCCAAACACACCCTAAATTATACAGATTTCGGATGGAATTTATTAGCCAAACAAAATTAAATTTTGAAATAAATGTGTAAAAAAACCACACTTCCATTTAGCTCTTCCCATTCACTGCTTTACATATAATTTCAAGTATTTAAGAAATCCACTCTAAATTTAACACAAAAAGAAATAGAAAACCAGGTTCTGCCTGTTGTCCCCCCCACCAAAAAAAATCATATTTTCTTTTAAAAAAATTAAGGTCTTTTTATGCACCAAAAATAAGGAAGTTTTTATAGGAAAGGGAGTAATGGTTCAATTCTAGAGGGAAACTTATCTCGCATTCTTTTTCTAATTTCATTAATGCCAGTATGAAATTAAATTGCGCTCCTTACTTTTTTTTTTTGGCCAGCAAATTGCCCTCCTTACATTTAATAGTCATAATTACATGAATTTACTGAAGCCATGAATGCTAAATAACCAAATGTAATAAATTCGTGAAAAATAGAAAATGATATACAATAATCAGGAGAAGAAAAATTTTGTTCCTATTTATAGGGTAGAGAGAAGAAAATTTTATATGAATGTATAATTTCACCATTCATTTAATATGAACAATATATATTAAACAGAGATATAGTCAAAAAATTATTAAATTTTAAATTAGAATTAATAAAGTTTAAGATTTTTCTTGATTTGTGTGAAACATGTCAAAAGTGATTTATAAATAAAATCAGAGTAATATAAATTTTCATTAGGATTAAGGGGCTGAAAAAGTACTTATGAATTTAAGGGTCCAAACTAAAGTATATAACACATATATATAACTAAAACCTTATATAAAATTAGAAAACTAAAATATGCATTTTTGCCCAAAAAAATAAAGCATGTGTGTGTGTGTAGAACTTTATTCTTTGTTTGATTTCGTCCTAATTTTCTGACATTAATATTCTGAAATTTAATTAAGAACACCTGAACTCAAAATCTCTTCATTGATCAAAACCACTACTACCTCTTGTCCTTAATATAAGAGCTAGTTTGACATTCAATTTGATCCTAAATATAATATCCCAATTTACTTTGTCTTTCATATTTATCTTTTGTTTAAAATAATCCCTTTAGTAGTTATACATATTAAATATTTCATCAAATGATAGTTTTAGCTAATATACTTGTTTGGTTAGAATTTTAGAAAAGACAATACTTATTTATTACACATAACTAACTTAGCTAATTTTCTTAATATTCTCAAATTAGTCAACTAGCTCTTATATTAAGGACTAAAGATAGTATTTTATAAATGAGACGAAATATTCTTTTATTATGTGAAAAGCTCACCCAATATAAACAAACCTAAATCCGCGTTAATTAAATTAAGATTTAATGCTATATTTTGTGCAACTTCAAATACTCAAAAATCAATAGGGGAAGATAACTTGAGATTTTCAATACTTTTTTTTTTTTACCAGCAAAGAGGCATTCATTATCTCCTTGTTTTTTTGTCGGTTGTTGCTTTTTCTTTCTTCCTTGTCAATACTTTTTTAGTCATATGAACTAGTTAAAAGTTTATTGTAAATAAGACCACGAAATTTCAGGGAAATTTTAATATAATAATTATATTTTCCATATTTATACTAATAACTCAAACAACGTAAACACAGGAAGTAGTACGTAGTTTATGTTTCGATCAGTGGAAAAAATTCCTTTAAAGACTAAATGAGAGACATATTTTGTATTAAGGGTCAAATAGAACATATTTGAAAATTAAGTAAAAAAATTGCAAAATCAGCAGGAATTGCAAAATAAGCATGCGCCAAAATTCTTACAGATTTTTAAGGCCATTGATGCCAAATACGTTTTCTATTTGCTCCTAAAAAGTTATCCCTCATCTTTAATCAAGTTTATATATTATAATTGAAATGAAAAGAATAATTGAATTTTTTTCAAAAATGATCTCAATTTTTTTTTGGGTTGAATGTATTTTAAAATAATTTTGAAATCATCATCACACCCCACCATGTTATTATTCAATAATTTAAAAATTAATAATCAACAGCCAAAAGATAATTTATATTTTTCATAACTTACACTTGAACCTTGATGAGCTCTGTGATGAAAAGAACCCCAAAAAAAAAAAAACAGAAAAAGAAAGAAAGAAAGAAAGAGGCCACACGCACACAGACAGAGTGACACAGATATCATATATACAGTCAAACAGATACGTTCGCCTTATGCTCCATTTATCTGTTCATACAAGGCCCACAAAAGGAAGCCGATGATTGTGTCCCTGATTAGGCTCTTGAGAAGACCTTCGATCCAGCCTCCATTATTAGGGTTTTGGCCCACAAGATCTCTAAACCTTAAATTGCCTTGATCAGATATCAGAGCATACACTACACCGTTCATGTGCCCCTTTCCTATGACACCCACCACCTTTTTACACTTATTCACCGCTTTGCTCCTCTTCAATGACCATGCAAGGTACTGCAAATTAAAACAAACAGCCGTTTTGCATTAAACTTACACTTCATTCTTCAGAGAGTATACTTTCCATACTGGTTTTTACAAAAAATATTCCCCAGAGGACATTTTTAGACACGCATCAGTATGATCTGCCAAGTGAATAAGTGGTCAAGAAGCTTGTAGCAGTAACATACTGATGGGGTTTCAAAAACTTTTCCATATTGATAAGTATATCTTTGAGGAACTAAATCGATGTAACATTCATCTTTCAAGAACCCTCACTCGTTTTAAAAGAAAATACTGTGCAGGATTCTGTCCTGTTCACTCCTTCCTGGTGTCTTCATTTTGCGTATGTCTTTTTTTAAGCAAGTGGCTTTTGAAGAAAGGTAATGGAGGAATATGACTATTTGATATTGATGTTTCCCTCGCTGGAACAGAAGAAAGTTGAGACAAAAGAGGGAAATCTTACAGTATCTCTTTCTTGTAGAAGAGGCTGCAATAGTGATGGATAGGAAAAGCTCAGTTGCTCATAAAGCTGAAATGTACCTTCATCATCTGAACTTGGTTCTTCCTGCATTTTAGAAGATTGCAGCCATTTAAATCATCAGATAAATTTCACTGATCTTTATTGGAAAGGGTAAAGGGAAAAGTAGTATGGCATATATTCTATGAGGTTCAAGCCAATCAATAACGCATTTATCTTTCAAACAATCCCTCTTTTAGTCTGTACTGCACTATTTGGAAAGGTAGGGAATACGCATGTCACCATTCTATCATCTGATGTGGAACATTCTACGTCCTCTCCTGTGATTACTCACAATTTCTAACTGTTTTCTACTTCCTACAACTGTTAGAAGAATTCCATATCAGATAGTACTGACCAGTTTAACCTAAAAGTCCTATAACCTTATCGTGGCTACTTTTCCTCATTTTCACCCACAAAGTATATTCAACTAGAACAAAATTTTAAGTATGAACCTCTTTGTTTAAAATCTCAACAAAACTTTACGGGTAGTTCTGAAGTTTAAGGGGAAATAGTATACTTAAACTAGAAGAAATGGCAAAAAGGCTACAGACCAGAATTATTTCCATCTAGGTTTTGAGAAGGTTTAGCTTGAGTTTAGTGGAACAAAGTGAGACTACATAAACAATTCCCTGCATGAAAATACATGATAGTAACTGCAAACTGGAGATGGGAAGCAAATATAGATGAACTTAGTGTGTTCTTGGGGACAGAATGAAACTCCTAAATACTAAATTCATGACAGTAATAGTTTTTAAAACATTAGGACTAAATTGATGACAAAAAACACTTAATTAAATACAAAATAAAGGCAATAGTATTGACAAAGACAAAAATAACAAGTCTATTCGTAATTCTACTAGAGTGGGGGCCCATTGGAATTAGGGATCCGATTCTGATCCTTGTCCCCTTATGGTAGAGAACAATCTACATCCAGTCCTGTCTCCATGCATCCATATGCAGGGCATTCTCGGCTGGGATACCCACAAACAGCAGAAATTTCATCCTTAATTTTGGATATTTATTTGTAGAACACTTTAAAAGCAAAAATGATCTATTTTCTGAAAAGTAGTTAATAGAGTAACTAGCAAGTATGGAGAATGTCAAACACAGAATTTTTTTCCTCTCTGTATAAGTCACTCATTTTAAAACAGCCAAAAAGCAAATAACCATTTAAACTTCAGGCCTTCTTCAAATAAACTCTACAGTTCTCGATTTTGGCGATTAACATAATCCAGTGTATTCAGTGTTTGACAAATAGCCAGTTCATCCCAAAGTGCTGCGAACATAAAACGACGGTAAATACTCAAAATATTAAAAATTATTACCGTGAAATTAACAGAAATTTCACTGTGGAGCAGATTCGTTGAATCAAAACAAAACTCCAGGCAGCTCTAATTATTTTCTTTTTCACTTGGTAATTAATGCAAAGGGTTAAATGCTATATGATTAAGTTTTTAAAATATTAATTGCCAATAAAAATCCAAGGGAGTTCATTTGCCAATGGGTCAAAGTGAGAAGGGAACTATTCTGAAATGGGACAAAGTTAATGGAGTTCTTGTGTCAGGCCTTTATATGTATAAAACTCAGCAGAGGAAAAATATTAAAAATTAAGACTGTATAATCATGGCAAGAGAAGCAACCTCGAGCTTGTTTGAGGAAATGCTAGACGACGATGTTATTCCACGAACAACAGAGACCACTAAACTTAGTTTCTCTCTCCATTTCAAAGCTCTCCACGCCCTCTGAAGCTGCAGGACAGATTACAGAGAATGAAAGGAAAGATCTTTTGTTGCTCAGTACATTAAACATAACCACAAAGGCAGTTCTCCTAGATCATATAGAATCGGGTTGTTTTAACGAACATGAATACCACACAATTGATGAAATTAATTATTGCCTGTAGACAGCTATTTTCTGTCATATTTGCAAGAGTTAACGTGCACATACAGTTATCTCAATTGGCCGATCTCCCAAGACTATTTGTGCACCAACTTCTTCAGATGCTTTTCGAGCAGCACGGAACTACAAAGGAGATGTTACTTTAATTTATTATCAAAATGAGCTTTATATCTATAGGTCAGAAGCATATTTTGAAATGACCTCATCACCAAAAGGGCGGTTAACATCAGAAGAGATCTTTGATGAAAAAGCAGCCAGGAGTAACCGTAATGCTAAGGCAGTTTGACCACCTGACAATAAGGTGAATGGTAAATTAATTTCCTTCTATATTGACATGTCAAACATATTTGTACTTACTGCTTACCCAAGTTTATGCTGCGTCCAACAGCGCCAAAAAACCCAGTCCCACTCAAAGAAAACATATTTGAACGTAATTGTTTGCCAAGCTCGCCATCAGCAGAAGCATACATGATCCCAGCTCTGGAAATGAACTCTGCAACAAATGAGAATAAGATGTGGATTGACAACAAACAATTTTGACATTTATGCAACTTCTTATGTATCTAGATGGCATATTAATTCAATAGTAACAAACTCAACAGCGGTTTCGACATATAATGCCCATTGCGTGAGGGCGAGCATTCGCTCTCTCTGAGAGCGACTCCGAGGGTCCCTCTTTCTCCTTCGCAGAGCTTGCGAACTGTGCTCGCTATTTCCCGTATCTCTTGCTTTCTTTCTCTTCTAAAGTGTTCTGTTTCAAATGGAGGTAGTAATGGATGAACGAATGAGTGTGAACTAGGTTGGGATGATGAAGAGGCGCAGGCTATGTTATGAGTCCCAAATTATGAAATCTCACAAGTAATGTGAGGGTTTATAAGTTTAAGGGCTCTTCCTCCTAATATCCTAGTCTTTTAGGATTAGGCCTCCCTTTGAATTTATGCTTATCACATTGGTACTTTCATTGAGAATGGACCAGCCAGAAAGGGTTTTAACCAGCAAGAAGACCAAGTTGTCATAGAGTGGAGTCACTGAGAACGTCAGCTCCCGAAGAGAGGTGCTATATTATGAGTCCCACATTAGAGAATCTTACAAGTGTTGTGGGGTTTATAAATTCAACAGACTCTCCTTCCAAATAAACTAGTCTTTTGGAATTGAGCTCTTCTTTTAGGCTTATACTCATCACATTGGGAGTTGCCTGGGACGTCATGTCTCCATAAGGGTGCTCTATTATGAGTCTTACATTGGTGAATCTCACAAATGATGTGGGATCTATAAGTTCAAGAGGCTCTCCCTCCTAAGAGGCTAATCTTTTGGGATTAGACTCTTCCTTTGGGTTTATGCTCATCACATTGGGAGCTGCCAGGAACGTTAGCTCTTGAGGGGGATGCTCTATTATGAATCTCACATTGGAGAATTTCACGAGTGTTGTGGGGTTTATAAATTCAAAGGATTCTCCCTCCTAATAGGCTTGTCTTTTGTAATTGTGCTATTTTTTTGGATTTATACTCATTATATTGATGTTTTCATCAAGAGTAGACCAATCGGAGAGGGTTACTTATAAAGGGTTCTAACCGATAAGAAGACCAAGTGAATTGTCGTAAAGTGAAGCCATAGGAGACGTCAGCTCTCGAGGAGAGTGCTCCGTTACGAGTCCCACATTGGGGAATCTCATAAATGTTGTGAGGTTTATAATTTTAAGGGGCTTTTCCTCCTAATAGGCTAATCTTTTAGGATTATGCTCTCTTTTTAAGCTTGTGCTCATTACATTGGTGCTTTCATTGAAAGTGGATTAATTAGAAAGGACTACATACGAAAGGTTCTGACCTATAAGAAGATTGAGTGAAGTGCCATATAAAGTGGAGATGCCAGGGATGTCCACTCTTGATGTGGGGACTCTGTTATGAGCCCCATATTGGAAAATCTCACAAGTGTTGTGTGTTTATAAGTTCAAAGGGCCCTCCCTCGTAAGATGCTAGTCTTTTAGAATGGGTCCTCTTTTTGAATTTATACTCATCACATTGATGCTTTTATTGAGAGCCCGATATCTATGGAGAGGACTAGTGAATGTTGGGCTTTAAACAGAAAAAACTTAGGGTAGCGACAATGAGGATGTTAATACGAATGTGTAGTCTTACAAGAAAAGATAATATTCAAAATGATAATATTAAAGAAATAGTAGGTGTGGCACCTATTAAAGAAAAAATGGTTAAAAATCATTTGAGATAGTATGGGCATGTGCAGAGAAGGCCATTAGACATGCTAGTGGTGAAGTGGGCAAATTAAATTGTTTTGGAGTCCTCAAAAAAAAAAGGTGGAGGAAAATAAAAGAGAACGTTCAACAAGGTCATTGATCAGGATCCTTTAGTTCACAACCTATCTAATGATTTGATTGTTGACAGAGCATAATAGTATCGTATGATCCATGTAGCTGATTCCATCTAATGGAATGAAAAAACTCGTTGTTTTTTATATTTAATTCAAAACAAGCGGTGGAATCTTAGCGGGCTAAATATAGATAGTCATCCAAAAGATGCTACTAACAGGATTCGGATTCCAGTTCTGGATTTTAGTGATAGGCTAATCTGCGTTGGGAGCAATAATGGAGTATACGTTGTTAAAATGGGGTACAAATGGTTGCAAAACAAAAGCAACTTGTTGAAGATAATAACCGTAGTACCTCGGTTCACGTTTCTAATGAATTATGGGAAGATAATGTGAGATCTAAAAGTCCAACCGAAGATCAAATATTTCTATGGAGAACTTGTTCTAAGGCTCTTCCCACTCGTGAAGCCTTTGTTCCGAAGGAAATGTGGTGCCTCGTGCTATTGCCCGCAATGTAACAATTTTTCCTGAATCACCAGAACACTATTGGGTGCTTTGTGATAGGAGGGTGTGGCTTGCTTCTCCTCTTGCTTTACATGTTCATGATCTGAATGTATGTACATCTGAATTTTTGCTGTTAAATGCTGGACGCTCGAAAGGTTGTAGAGTGTCATTTTAGCATATAATGATGACACTGGAACAAAGTCAATCTTTTCAGCGCTCCTCAAATATTCGCATGGATTAAGTTTTTTTGGGTTTTGTTTCAAACTAATAAGACATTGAGTCCTCGTAAGATTGTCTGAGTTCGTACTACGTTAGTGCACGATATCGAAACAAAAATCAACCTTCTGAATAGTACAAGAGTGATTCTTGAAAACACCAAATTTCATGATCGATAGTGGTGGACCAAAATAAAATCTTACTCCAAATTATTATAATAGATGTGACTGATGCTGCAAATTAAAAAATATTGCATTGTAAAGAGCGAGTGTACTTGCCTGCTTCTGCAGAGCTCGACAACTACGTTGTCTGGCTTCACTGCTCGAACCACGCGTTCGACGGCCATGGCCGATTCTTCAGAAATGTGAGTAGTTCCGAGCAACCAGATCGCCTCAGGCTCCACAAACTCCGACCTCCATGGAGGAACAGGACCAAACTGCTTCTTCTGAATCAAAAGCAAGTCCCCACTGTCGGCTAAATCGAGTAACTCGGGATGAGACTCAGCAATCGCGGCTCTGGACTGGTCGGAAATTTGCAGCTTGTAATTGAAATCTGGAGGTGGGGGTTTGATCGAAACTTTGAAGCTGAAAGGCCTGAGAAGTTTGGTTGGTAACAAGGCTGGGTTGGTCATGAAAATTGGGAAGGTTGATTTGATGGTCTCCATTGAAGACGAGGGCCAAGGAGGCTTGTGTGCTCCAGCTTGAGTTGCCAAGGATAAGAAATGCAGAATCGAACTCATCCAACTCCAGAAACTCTTGTATGCGGTATGCGGTATGCCTGATAAGACAACATGAGGTCTGTATCTTGCACATTTATTATCTCTTCCTTTTTTTAATTTTATCTTTTCTTCTCTCTTCATTAAATAAATAAATACTATAAAAGATACGATCCCAAAAAGGGATCTATTTATTGCTGATCAAAACACGCAGTCTAATGCTGTCAAAATTCCTGTAAATGGTAAATTCTTGCTAATCGTGTTTTTCGAAAAAAAAATATATATATATATACACACACACACACACACAACTCCGATTGGTGATGGCTGGTCCACGTCGTTTAGGAATTGGGATATCTCTGAATTATGAGTTTCTGACCGCCAAAAGGAAAAGCAGGAACATCGTAAGCGATAAACGACAAAAGGTTCGCCACTTCTCCTACTTTTCCCTCCAATAATTAATTTGCTTGTACATATATAAACAAAATTCAGTTAATTATTAGTAATACTACTTCTGATTTTAATTATAAAACTTTATTTATAAATTATAAATGAGATTTTATAAAGGGAAAATCTCAAAAAAACTAACTGTTAAATTTCAAAATGACAAACCTGTATTGGTTACTACACTTATAAAAAAAATGACTACACTTACAAAGTAAATAACAACATATTTTTGTAGTAATTTCTGATTTATCATTTCGAAATTCAACAGTTACTTTTTAAGATTTTTCTTTTTATAAATAGGACCAGAAGTAGTATATGTGTTGAATTTTTTAGATTATTTTCTTTAATTATATACACATTCATAATAAAAACTTAGTTTTACGTAATTAATAGAGATATCTTTAAAAAAATTATAGATTCAGGAACAAATTGTATTAAGATATTATACATTTAGGATTAAAATAAAATTTTATTTAACTCATATTTAAAATCCACTAAAAATCAAGAGCACAAGGGCTCAGGAAGAGGACTAAAGTGTTTTGACAGATAAGTTTGTACTTTTTTTTCTTTTGGTGTTATTCATATGTTATATATTTTGTACTTGAAGTTTTTTACAAATTGTATACTATGATGTGTGCTTTATTTAAAAATGCAATCTTGCTTGCACAATTTTCAAAGCGATGCAATATTATTAGATAATCATTTTTTTTAATCCCTTAATAGAAGTCTCAATTTTTAAAACCCCAACCAAGACGATATTGTTAACCAAGATGAATGGTGAACATTTTAGGAAGATTGATGACATGTTGACCATGATTGTCCTTGTGAGGTCCCATGGAAAAAGCAAATGGATGCGTAGGTCACAAGAGTGTGCTAATGGAACAGTCCCAGTGAAGTTAGAATTGTCGAGAGTTGAAAGTAAAAGATTCTCCCTGTTTCACTCTCCTCTTGTCTCTGTTGCAGTTGGAGTATTTAGGTAAGAATCGAATCATGATTTTAAAATTAATTTTATGATATACGAAATAAGTATATAACTACCTTTTCAAAGTTCTTTTTAATTCAACTAAACACCCATTCTATCGTTCATTCATTTATATCTTCTTTTTCCTATATGAAAAGATAACTTTACTTACTTTATAGTTTATACTCCACAGCAATTCGAATAGATTAGCCAAAGGTTATAAACCTTAATTGCATGAATGTTCCACATATAAGTAGAAAGTGACATGTTTTAATGATGTTTAGGGCTAACTTTTCTTCACCCTCCCCACCAAAGCCCTTCACCTTCAAAACCCAAATCATGATTTCTTCAAGGAACAACAATCATGATCTCTCTTTTTCTGTTTACTTGTCTGCAAGTGATCAAACCCGGCCAAACCCCAAAAAGAAAGCTTCATTAATTGGAAAAAAAATAATGAGTAACTTATCCTGTTTAGTCTCATGCTTCTTCTTCTTCTTTTTCTTTCCAATGGTGATGATGATAATCCAATTATTGACAAGAGAGGGTGAATTAAGGGGATTAGAGTCAATTTGCCTCTTTATGCCTCTTTCCCTACCTCTCCAATTCACTCTTATCCCTGGTCTGGATAGAGGAAAAAATTGGAAGAAAATAGGGAAAACTACTAAGGCAGAAAATACATATGATCTTATATTTATGTGTTGAAACTTCTCAATAATTGTTGTTAAATACTATCTCGGAGTCTAACTATCACTTGTTCCGTATAAATAGACTCGGAATATTATGGTGGGGGAAGAGATCGAAATAATAGGGAAGAATGAATATAAAATTCTAAAATACTACCTCCGGTCCTAATTATAAGACCCAGTTGACTAATTTGAGGAGATTAAGGAAGTAAGTTAAGTTAGTTATTTGTAACAAATAAGTGTTGTCATTCCTAAAATATCCTCGCTAATTAAGTGTGTTGGCTAGAACTATCATTATTAGAAGGACTATCTTGGGAAAAAATGCATAAATATGAGAGACAAAATGGATTGGGGTCTTATAATTAGGACCAAACTAAAAGTCAAACGGGGTCTTATATTAAGGACCAGAGGTAGTATTAATTAAGTAAACGAGAGATATATTGAAAAATATTTAAAATCAGTTAAAAATAAAAATTCATATGGCTGCCAAATTTAAAAGTTTGAAGTATAAATTAAGTATTTATGTCCTAAATACTATCTTCAGTTTTAATTATAAGACTTTATTTATAGTTTACAAATGAGATTTTATAATTAAGAAGAGAGGTAATATAACACTTGTTTGCATTGATGGTTACAAATTGTTTGTTTTGAGAAAATTAATAAAAATTTAACGGGTGTTAGTGAGAGGGACAGACCGACAGAGGCCCCCATATGAACAGGGGTTTTGGATGGATGTGATGAAGGGAAGGGGTAGGGGTCGCCTCACCAGGAACTACCGCAGCAAAGAAAGGCTTTGACTTGACCAACCCTTTTTGTTTTGCTTCGCTTTTATAATTTCTCTATCACCATTGCGTCTTGGCCCTCTTTCTCACCTGATCTTCCATTATTTCTGACATTTCTGTCTCCCCCATTCTCCCGTCCCTCCATTTTCTTTGGCCAAAGTGATTAATTTTTTTATAAAATAAATAATTAAGGTTTGAGTTTTTGTTACAAGGGATATTCATGCCAAACATGATTATTTTTAACAAAATTTTTTTCAGATCAATTAAAAAATGACATATAAATGCCAATAAAAACAGGGAAATTACAATAATTATTAATTTACAAATTTAAAATGGTCGTTCTCACTTAAAAGTTTGGTTGTCGTTTAATTTCAGGCCATCCCTTACTCAAAAGAAAAAAAAATTCTTCGCATCCATCCCACCATATATCAAATCAATATCATTATTCTTTCTTAAAGAAACATCAAGATCTCTGCTGGAAAAAAAGAAAAATCAATAAGATAATATTTTTTTTTAAAAAAACTGCTCTTACGACATTAGGCGTTTTGTTTTTTTGTTTTGTTTTGTAATTATAATATAATATACTAGCTCCGATGCTAATTATAAGAGCTAGTTGACTAATTTGAGAAGACTAAGGGGGTGTTTGGATAGAAACCAAACCATGGTTTCAGAAGTACTTTTAGGGACTACGAAGTAAATATGTAGAGGAGGTTACCTCGTTTTGCGAAAAAGTACTTTTGAAACCGTGGTTTTGAGAATGCCAAACACCCCCTAAGGAAAGAAGTTAAGTTAGTTATTTATAATAAATATGTGTTGTCTTTTCTAAAATATTTTTACTAATTAAGTGTATTGGCTAGAACTACCATTGTTATAAGAACTACCTTAAGAAAAAATACATAAATATGAGAGAAAAAGTATATTGGAATTTTATATTTAGACTCAAAATAAAAGTTAAATGAGATCTTATATTAAGGACCGGAGGTAGTAGTTTTTATACTAATTGGCGCATATGAATAGTAATTAGTTGGAAAAAAAGAATATTAATTGGATTTTTAATTGTAATATATGAAAGAAATAATAGTTTTTAAACTTTTCAAAAATATTATACTTAAAAAAATACGCTGATGGGAAAAAAAAAAGAGAGTCGGGGATTCCCTCTTGATGTGGTGGGGTCGGGGGGATCGGGAATTCTAATGTCATAACACTTAACATCGGCCATCGGGAGTGGAAAAGGTTTTTAAAAACAAAAAATCGCTAAAGACAGGAAAGATTACACAGGCCCACGTGCGTTACACGTGAGTTTGCATTTGTACAGCCAGAATGTGGGGCCATACCGCGTGCGCGACACGTGACTTATACTAACTCTGGCAACTGTAACTCGCACTCCCCCAGCGGTCTGCTTTGCTTTAAACATGATCTGCTGCGACTCCTTTTTATTTTTTGGGACCCAATAGTACACTCTTCCGCTCTTTCTTTATGAGTTCTGTTAATTTCTTTTTGAGTTATTTTAAATACGATTAATATTATTTTTAGTGTCTAAAATTTGTTCTCACTTTAATTTTGTTTCCTAAAATTTGAAATCAATAGCTTTAGTTCTTAAAACTTAATCTTATTTTGATCTCTCTAAAAATGTTTGGCCTCTGAAATAGTAGCTTTGCCCTTCAAATAATGACCAAAAACAAAATGAATCAAATTGTAAGGATCAAAATTAACATGATATCAAATTTTAAGAACTAAAGTTGGTATTATATTAACCCTTCTAAATATATCATTTCCAAACAAGTATTTAATTTTTCATATATTTAAGGATGATTGCATCTAATATTCGAATTCTTGACCTTCTTTACAGAAACCTGAGTCTTGTTTGATTCAACCACTTAATTTATAAAGACCAGATATTATATTTATATACACTTTATAAATGATGACATGTAATTGTAAGGGTTTAGATTCAATATATACTGAAGAAAATTCTAATTGTCCCGTGTATTTTCCAAGCTTCAAAGTAACAGTTAAGATAATTTTACAAAGGTGAAAAATATTAAATAGCTTGATTTTTTTTTGTTAAGATGCAAATTTGGGTCAGAAGTTTTTACTCCAAAAGTTTGATTTTTTGAGGCGCAAATTCACTTTATAAGTTTAAAAGCATACTAATGTTGGTCAACTTCATTATTTTTATTGTAGAGAGCAAAAGTGCTATAATTTTAAATTTCATGACAAATTTGCACACAAAAAATTTTGGGTGCCCAGCGTTCTTAAGTAAAAACTTCCAAAACAAGTTTGGAGCTTAAATTTTTTTCTGGCCAACCGACTAAATGTATTCGACTCTGGTATAAAACATCTAATACACACAAAATTTTAATAATTATAAGATAGAAGAAAATAATGAATCGGTCTTAAAATTAGAGATAGAACCTGTGTAAATTAGAGTTTGTTTTAAAGATTCTATATATATATATATATATATATATTAGGTTAGAGGCTATATAATGAACAAAAAATTATTCATCATAACTAACTTTAATGAAAATATAAGTGAATGTTCAGATCATATATATCCTGAATGGTTTTTTTTGCAAGCCATCAATAACAAATGGCTAATGTCCATTTACGTTTAAGAAAACCGTGACTTTTGATTTAGTCAAAATTCCGCCAAAAAAAACAGACAAAACACTTTGACCAGAATAACTTCTTTTCATTTGGGTGTAGTACATGTCACAGCAAAAACTATTCCTTCTCAACAGTTTTTTATTGGTAATTAATTGCTTGTACAATGCGCACAGATTAATTCATTATTTGGATATTTTTTATAGAAATAAATTAGAGGAATATCATTTATCTAATCATGGCCACATATTTTAGTTACTTCTTAAAGAAAGGGATTATAAGTACTGATCAAGAAATTAAAGTGGCGATTATAACCATTTTAACACATCCAGGTGAACTCAAAAAAACTTATGGGCGACATTGCCCTTCAGTAAAAAATTTTAAAGCAAATTTGTATCTTAACGAAGAGAAACTAATAACTAGTTTTGCATGTGGATGTATTCAAGCCTGATCTAAATTATTAAAATTTATATTACAATATAAAACTGAAATAAAACCAAAAAATAATTGAGGGAAAGCACCCGAGCGAAAACATTTTGTGGCTTTTGGAACAATATAATATAAACCCTTCGCATATATAACCATAATAAATTATCAACCAATTATATATATATGTAGGGAAATTTTCAATGATTATGATGATATGCTAACGTCTTCCAAGCAGTGAATGATTTTAAGAGGACGAACAACCAACGGGTAGCTTTCCAAGAGCCCACATAACCCCACCAAGCACAACTAATGGAACAACATAAATTTACTTCCCTAGCCTTATTTATAAGCATAGGAAACAAAAAAAAAAAACCTTAAATCTCAATACCTCAGTAACTTTCTAATTTTAGCACTGTTATGCGTAAAACTCAGAAGCAGATATTTTTGACAAAGAGTAAATGAAAAAGGAAAGGGACAAAACAGTAGCTGGAGGAGGCAGCTAGGAAGGATCACAGAGAACAGGAGCTTTTACTGAATCAAACATGTAATTAAAAACTTTGAAGAAAGCGAAGTGCTCCCTAACGTCAATAAAGCATATGTGCACAGATAAATGTATCCAGAAGGGTCACAGCTATATTTGATCCATCGGCTTAAAATTTGCACCCAATACGTGTTCCATATAGGGCCACACTTCCTTCCTCAGGAGAAAAGGCGGAAAAATCCGCGACTCTCCCACGCTTTATACTCTATTCTCCATATCTCCCTCCCTGATCACTACTACTACTCTCTAATTCCCTATCATCAAACTTATTTATACATATACATACATATATATATATTAGTTGTCCATTTCCAGATTTTCTTTGTGAACGTGTCCTTCTCTACTGTGTACTATACACTATGGATAGCAACCCTCCTCCTGCGAGCTTGCCTCAACAAGAACAATCTTCTGCTTCTTCTCCTTCTGCTTTGCAAGTGCCTTCGTCTCACGAGTCGTCTTCGTCTCCGAGGACGCTGAGATCACCGGGTGGATCGTCGTCGGGTCAGCACACCAGCAGGAGGCACGCCACGTTCCGGGGAATCCGGAGCCGAAGTGGAAAATGGGTGTCCGAGATACGGGAGCCTCGTAAAACCACGCGCATTTGGCTGGGCACGTATCCGACTCCGGAGATGGCTGCCGCCGCGTATGATGTCGCCGCACTTGCATTGAAAGGCCCTGACACCACCCTCAACTTCCCCAATTTGATTCTCTCCTACCCGATCCCGGCGTCATTGTCTGCGACGGATATTCGGGCGGCAGCGTCGGCAGCTGCAGAGGCCAGGCTGGTCAGGTCTGCGGAAACCGTCGGACAAAGCGCTGGAGGAGGAGGAGGAGGAGGAGGAGGCCAAGCCGAGGGCGGGAACAGGCCCGGCGGAGAAGTGATGGAGAAAAACGAGGAATTTATCGATGAGGACGAGCTATTGAATATGCCTAGTTTGCTGGATGATATGGCGAGGGGAATGCAGGTGAGTCCGCCGAGGATGAAGTCACCGTACGCTTCCGATGATTCGCCGAGGAATTCAGATCATGGAGATAGCCTCTGGAGTTTTTGAACCCATTTGGGGGCTTCAGACAATCAACTAAAGATTCTTGATTACATATATATATATAACTTGCTATGAGTAATAATTTTGTTGTATTTTGGCTGATTTTCGCCCGCGTGTTCTTCATCATTTTTTTCCACTGCACAGATCGTTGCCTGGCTGGCTGTGTATAAACAAGCTTCTAAGCCTTAGGGTCTCTTTCATTTCTGTGCTGTTCTGAGAAAGACACCGATTCTATGCAACGATTATCATTTGTCTGATATGGATCTACAAGTTCGGTGCTTATTTTTCATCCCTTGGGATCTAATCAATTAATAGTACTATGATCTAGAAAGTTTCTGCTTTCAATTTGTTTGCGAGTCTGTACTACGTATATATGATTCTATGCATCAGTTTTGCCCTCAGGAGCTTGAGATTATACTGCTGGCCATGGAGTGTTCAAGGTTTCTACCTGTAAAGGGATTGATCAAGAAGATTTAGGCAGTATGTATCTGAAAATTAAACAAGTAGCTAGCTAAGACCTTGGGTTCTTTGTAGGGTGCTATATATTATATGTTGATGGAATAATATGGCCTCTTTTTCTGCTTTGGATGCTACCTATCTGCTTAATTCTATGATTCTGGGTTCCATTCAGCCCTGCCAGAATTAATTATCACTGAGATATCTGATGTGTGTGCAGTAAGATCGATGAGAAGGAGACAAAGCCAGGGTTCAAAGTTCAAACCCTCCAGGAGAAGAAGACAAACAAAACCACTCTTCTTCTTCTTCTTCTTTCCATTTTCTTTTTCCATCTTCAACGGGAAATTAGCTAGGAAGGATAAAGTTTCTGTTAGAACAGAAAAGAAAAAAGAAGAAGCAAGAATTGATGAGATATGTAATAAATGCAGCGATGCAGATCGAACACACACGGCAGGATTGGAATCTAACAGGGTCAGGTGAGCATCTGGGGAGGGTCCGTATTGCTTTTTAATTGGCCGACTCGTGTCGTCGAACTAAGCCGACAAGAAGCAAAGTTTGTGCCGGCCGTTATGGCAGAATGTTCAACCAACCTGCCTTTTTCAATACGCTATTGCGTTTCCATTGCAATTTGCAAATTTTGAGATTTCTTCTTTGACAATGATGATGAGGAAGCATAATTTATACATATATATGATCGATGATCAGATATTACTTAGCTGCAATAACCAATATTCTCTCAACCTGGAAAATGACAAGATCATATATGTATATATTGATCAATCTCTTGACCTTACCATCTCATATATATAGTACTTAACAAATACATATAATAGCATTAGATTAAGAAGTGCTGTGTATATATGGATCATTTTCTTCGGTAACAGAGAATGATGACAGTACAGATAACGAGCTCAGCCCGCCATTATCATTCAAGGCAAGAGTACTTACTGATTTTCTTATCTGTCCTTCTGCTTAAATACTTATACTGGTTAATTAACCCCATGTTATGTATATTTTAACACTCTTATCTCAGGGATATAACGAATCTCAGGACGGGATTTGCTGAGGGATTGGTCGGCTTAAAGATCATATGTACTTGACACACATGAATCTGCAGACAGTGAGTGGTAGATGAGACTTTTTTGTCTCTATATATAATTTGATTAGTTCCCCCTCTTTTTCTCCCTACTTGAGAAGCAATTAAGAGTACTTGTGTAACCCTGGATGTGAATTACTTGAAGGTGTCAAGGGATTTACTATGAATGGCATAAATTAATGACTCCAACGATCCTACTAACATATATTCTTATTGGCCATTTGATCAAAATTGTTTTTACAAAACGAATACATCTTTTCTTTTAACTTGTTTAAGCTCATCTCTGAACTTTCCAGCGAGAACCTAGACAATGAAATGAGTCGATCTTTTATTAAAAAAATCTTCACACACACACACACACACACACATAGTAGGAAGTATATATGTAACATTCTGGATGATTAGCACTCCTATCAATCTTGTAATATAAAATGAATAATGTAACCATTTAAACTTTTCTTGACTAATCAATTATGTTCGGATGATCTATAACTACTGCTTCTTTTTTTTTAAAAAAAGAAATCAAATAACAAATTAATATTCTTCTAGTTTTATTTATAGGGCAGAAGGAGAAAAGATTTTTAGCCCTATTTATGGGATAGAGAGAGAAACTTTTGACATGAATGTATAATTTAATCTTTTATTTATTATTGTACTAACTTTGTTCTCACAATATATAATATATATTAAATAGAGATAAGATTAAAAGTCATTGAATTTTAAATAAGAGTTGAAATTTAAAATTTTTCTTGATTTGTGTGAAATATATTGGAAGTGACTTATAAATAGAACCAGAGAAATATATGACACTAAAATGTCAAAGCAATACTTCCAATTTTACACAGGGAAGAATAATATTGCTGGGTATCTAATTTTTTCTTTTGCCACCTGTTGCGTATCAAATATAACTAAACAACATTACAAGATCTAAAAATGAAGTTCACAAAATATCTTCTTTTCACTTGATCCCTTCAAATTAACAAATTTATAATAACCTTACTCATAGTTGATGTCATTTGAAGAGGAATGTGTTCTACCTTCTCTGTCTAATTTGGATGTGTTTACTCATAGAATGTGATGATGGTTCTTTAATCTAAGATCTGGTCTAAACAAATCGCGTCAATTTGTTGCTGATGACAACTAATCAAAGGTTCATTAAAAACAAGTACAAAGGAAGAATTTTAATAGGTCCAAGATTAATCCAAAGCTAATAACGCTTCATATAATTAGTGTTATGGATCTCAATTGATTAGCATACTGAGGAATTTTCGTTGTTGAACTTATATTTCATGTTCGGATTGTTATTGTTAATTGGGGTCTTTGATGGAACAAAGTGATCAGCGTTTTGACTATCACAACATATAGCTTTGCTTACTAATTAATTTGATATCTAACAAGTTCATCAAGAAAGATGAAGCTTAATTACGTTAATATAAAAGCCTTGTTGCAGGAAATTTTATGGAGAATTTAAACTCGCCGGTATTCGATTAATGTCTTGATGGATTCACACAATATAATCCCAAAAATTGTAATGAAGAAATTAACTAGTGATACGCAATTTTTTTATATACACGCCTAATAAAGAGAATAATTCCGGATTTTCATATCCAATTAAACCTTCAATATATATATTCTCTGGTACATTAAAAATTGAAAAGCTAGCGCAGAGAATTTTGAAAAAAAACCCTAGAATCGTCAGGTGCATAGTTTTTGAAGCAAAGTCCATTGTTTTATAAACAAATATTTCTAAGCATATTCAATCATACATTAATTGGTCTACGTTCGTACCTCCTCGATATTCTTGAAATGTCGACTTCGGTCAATAGTCAAAAATCACTAAAAGTCAAATCTTTAAAGATTCACTTTTGAGATCGACCAACAGTTCATTATTATTGTTCTAATTCTAATCAGTCAAGAGATGGGTAGCCGGGGAAGGCCGACATTTCTCTCACAGACTGTTCAAAATAATCAATAAAATCAAAGAGATTCTGGATCATTATCCATCATCAAATGCAAACTTCAATTTTCCTTGTACAGCAATCTACTAGTAGTATATTATTGGGGCTAAGTGGGGTATTAATCGCATATTAATATTCACACATTATAACTGAGAATTGAAAAAACAAGCCAAAAAAAAAAGGTAGGAAAGAAAAGGAACATAATTTTTACATAAAGGTAATGATAAGACTAGATGAAAGAAAAGGGTGGGCCTGAAGTCATATAATAATTAAAGAAACGAAAAGAGGGCATAGGAGAAAGAGGGCTATGTTGGATTTTATGCGCCGATTTGGTTCAGTTCACCTGGCAGATTTAGGCATTAATTAAAACACTGTTTATTTGCAGACAACTATTCCAAAAGCGGCTACCCAATTAACAAACGCAGATTAATAATCAATTATTCTGACCCCTCGATATCTGAGGCCTATCTTCTTCGTCATCATCTTCTGCTGGATGTTTAATCCCGGCCCAAAACTAGCGAGCACGAGGAGGGAAAAAATAGAAAGAATTAAATCCATGTTCACACAGGAATTTTTATTTTTATTTGAAATTGATTGATATGTGAGGTCAGGTATCGCCGTCGAAAACAAAAATTTTGACTTGGACACGTTCCGTTTCCCTGAGACTGTGCGGTCACCTCAATGCAATTGGGACTTTGCTGTATTGACATCTTATTAATCAGGTTTTGGCCTCCAAAGGATATTAATCGGAGTCAATATCTTGATGATAAAAAAATGAAAATACATATATAATTGAAAAATATACTTTATGTTATGCAGATCAAGAATTGTGGGTGAACGTCCTTCCCTCATTTACCACTCTACTTTTATTCAAGTACTAATTCTCAATGCTCTCTCATTCCATTATTTTTGTAACTAGCTCCCCCATTCATATCTGCGGATTTTATTATTCACTACACATCATTTAACTTAGACCTTTAGCATGTAAGATCATGTTCATAAATATAAAATTTTATTTGTATTGAGATGTATAGTAATAGAATAAAGTTACTTTATAATACGTTATAAACACAAGCATCTACCGAAATAACACAGAGAATGTATCTTAGGGCTTACTCTTATTTGTCTTTTTATAAGAGCCTGATAATTAAATTACGCTGTCTAACAAAATAGTTAAAATTAGTTGAAACTAATAAGTATGTAAGAAATAAACTTTCTTTTCCAAACATGCCCTTGTTTATAAGGGGCAAGTAAGAGAAAGAAAGTATGAAAGAGAATGTAGTTAACCCTTTGATTAATGCAGTTTATAAAATTAATTATGAGCAAAATTGGTAAAAACACATTAAATGTTCATTAGACAACCACTAGTGGAATCTTATAAAAAAGATTAAGACAATTCAAATTTTAAGTTCTTATCAAAAGAACTGGAGTGAGTATTATTGATCATTATTCTGTCACATGGAAATAGTTAATCTCATGGTCCTGAAGTATCATGTATTTATAAATATCTACAATGTCTTGCTGATATTACATTTGTAATAATCTTGTTGGCAACCTGATGAACAGATAGATATTGAAAGAAAATATAATATTCTCAAAAAGCATTATATGAACCAAATTCAACATATATCATGATGATCTTTAAAATAATT